ATATCCCTCAATTCTTTATGTGGGTTTCTACGTGTAGAATGCCCAGCTGTCTCAAACTCTCTGAAAATATGGGACGCCACATCATCAAAGTATGGTTTGTCTTTTCTCTTTCTCTGCCAACCCCTTATCTGAGGAATATTTCTTTTATCCCAGGGATGGCTGCACAAGATTTTAGGGGTATTGAAACCGCGGGCTTACAGCGTTTATGCCATCTATTTGAGGGCGGCACTTTTATAACGTTTGAGGAATTGAAAACCAGGGCCCCGCTACGTTCTTCTGACTTTTTTCGCTACCTCCAACTTTGGGATTATGCCCTAAATCATGCAATTAAAAAAGCCGCTTTAGGGTGCGGGGCCTGACTGCCATGGTGGAGAGACGTGTCTTGCTCAAGCTCCTCTCCAAATTTGACAAAACATGCAGTTATAGCCTCATCAAACCTAAGCTACTATCTACCAAGCGACTAACATACCTCTTGAGCAGGCTACAGTACCCTATGGAGGTTGGAAACTCGACAGAAACTTGGTTGCGGCAAACCCTGGAACATGCGGCCTAGAGGGAACCGGGCGGGAGAGGCGGACGATCTCCCAGGCCGGTGCTGCTCAATGGCCCACACCACTATGCTGGTGCCCCGTTACCCTCCACCCCCTGGACCGGTGGGGGTGATCATGGTCCACATGTGGGAGGCCTCACTGACTTAATCGAGATGGGGAGAAGCCGCTGGACCCGCAGAGACAGCAAGCGACTCCTCAAACATGGCAACAGCCACGAGGCACCCTGACTCAGTCGAAGAACGGACTGACCTGCTGTACAGAATTCTAACAAAATTCTAGATGATTTCTGGCAGAAGCTAGAGGACAGGAGGCACCAGACCGACCCAGTGCAGCCGCAAGTACTCTCACCTCCATAGCCGCTTGCTTCCCCGCGGCGGACATCCACGGCCCGGCGGGGATGAAGACCCAGAGATGGCAGCGAAGCAGGAGGTTCCCATTCCAACGACGGCGGGCAACATGTAGGCGGAAATCAACCAGAGCCAAGACAGGGGCTTTTAAAGTGCCTTCTCCACATTGCCCCCCAACCTAAGGGAGCTCTGAGATGGCGCTGCAGAGGGAAATACCTCCCGCCTACAGGCAAGCACATGAGAGGGAACCATGCACCAGAGCCACGAGGCAAGGTGCTGCAAATCCCCCACACACCCAGCTACCAACCAGGTCGAATCAAGCAGCCACGGACGGCACGATGCCCTCCCTCATGCTGGACACAGACAACGCCACGGAAAATACAGCCGACTTTACTTGGTGCGGCTCTACCCCTTACTCCACAAACAATCCCGCCCCAAATGCCCAGGGCAAATGCCTTGTTAGCCTTGCGGCTAACAGTCCAGGCAGGCGGCAGCTATGTAAAAATACATGTGGGCAGCGCTGGCGAGGGAGCACTTTACCCTGAGCGCTCCGCTCAGCTCCCTCGCGTGCCTCCCGCAGAGTGATGCTGGGAGCCGGAATATGACGTCATATTCCGGCTCCAGGTGACCGGCATCACTCTGTGGGCGGCGCGCAAGGGAGCTAGGGCAGCACAAAACCAAGATGCACCACTGGGTGGGTCCCCCAAATAAAGCTTGCTGGACTTAAAAATGTGCACAGTGTTTTCCATGCCATGTTATACTCTGCTATTGAATGGTTTCCTACAGCTAGTGTGACGTAGCAAGCCAGATTGTTATTTCATGCACAAACAAAAATAAAGAATTTAACCAAAAAAAAAAAGCTGCTTTAACACAACTCACGTTTTTCAAAAGGATGTGCATCGGAGAGCACTTCCCGAGGGGCCTGATTACTAGCCTATATGCTCACCTAAGCACAAACACCTTAGAATGGGAAGAGCTTACATACATAGACCAATGTGAGGCAGATCTGAAGGAGGTATTGGAGGGCATTGAGTGGCAGGAGATCTGGGAAGCTGCCGCAACGTCCTCTATATGTGTCTCTTTGCAGGAACAAGCTTACAAGATTATGTTTCGGTGGTACACCACCCGGTGAAACTTTGCAGGATGAATAAAATTCCAACAGACTTATGTTGGAGAGGGTGCGGGCAGAAGGGGACTTATATACACATGTGGTGGGACTGCCCAGAGGTACAAAAATACTGGAAACAGATTGCGGCGTTGCTGCGGGATGTCTTCGACAAGGATATTAAACTGGACCCCTGGGTATTCATACTGGCCAGGTCTATGGATGAGTGGTCAAAAATGGAACAAAATCTGGTACATAAGGTGAATTTGGCTCAGGTTTGGCTACAGAGGGAGACCCTCTCACTTGCAGCAGTCATACAAAAGATCAAAGACACGCTACTCATGGACAAATTAACAGCTCAAGTCAGGTGCACTATAAAGAAGTTCGAGAAGGTCTGGGGCCTTGGATAGATAGCCATGGGTGACTAGGAGTTCGGTGGGGTGAGCTTATTCTCCCAAAACACCACTCTTCATGCTAACGACTAGCGACAGCCCCTGACGAGGTTAACACAGTAGAGGAGTTTAAGCATGCGTGGGATAGGCATAAGGCTATCCTAACTATAAGATAAGGCTAGGGACTAATGAAAGTATTTAGAAAATTGGGCAGACTAGATGGGCCGAATGGTTCTTATCTGCCGTCACATTCTATGTTTTTATGTTTCTATGAAATCAACGCCTTTTCCCCTATGGGGGGACTTTAAGGATCCCTCCAGGGGATGCAAACAGAAGGGATCGCCCCATAGAAAGTTACTTTTCCTAACTTGAAGATGCACCTTGTCCTTTGCCGCCTGGACTGGATCCCTGGATGGTTTTTCTACTGCCCCCTCCCGTACAAAATTCCCCTCCCCTCCGTTCCTTTATTATCCCCCTTTTTTTCTTTCTCTTCTCTTTGCTCTATTTTTAATCAGTTACTTCTATATTCATCTCTCTATCTTTACTTAACTCTTCTCTGACTGCCATCAGCACTTCGACATGTTCTGTTACTGGAACTTAACATCTACTGTGATGTGTTTGGGTATACGAGGGGAGCTTAGGGTCAGTATCGTGGAACTGCAATACTACTACTTTAAATATGGGCTCGAGTCTCTTAAAACTGAGATCCTCAATATGCGCTACAAAGTACATAAGAACTGAACACGGGATCTGAGGATGTTCTTTCCTTGGTCAGTCAGGTTTCATATGTTTTATTTCTTACAAAAAACCCTGGTGGGACACCACTGATATAAAGACTTTCACAACTGACACGCAATGCTTTGCTGAAACTACGGAAGTGGATCGAAACTTTGTTTTTTCATATTTGTAAGTTTCATATCATTGCGAATTTGTTACCATCTTGTTGTATACCAATATGTTATCTTGTTTATGTTATTTTTATGGTGTCTTGCCTTGTAATAAATAAAGAATTTAAAAAACAAAAGAAAACAAAGCCAAAGTCAAATACCAGAAAATCAAGATCAGGAACGCACTCTCGGATAACTATAGGCATGAAACCACGACAGGTCAATGAGCAAGAGGAGAGTTGGGTTTAAATATCCCTCCTCTGGATCCGATTGGCTGTAACCGGCTTTTGACCCCAAAAGCAATTACCAGGTGTGCATGATTGCTGCTCAGCTAAACCCTCCTGTGGATTTGATTGGCCATGACCGGCCTTTGACCCCAAAAGTAATTAGCAGGTTTCCATGTGAATGATTGCTGCTTGGCACAACTTTTCCTGCCAGGACAGTAATGTTGCTCGGCACAACTTTTCCTGTCAGGATAGTAAATGCCATTAACCACATTTTTATGTGCGGATGAATACGTGACATTACCCCCCACCTGAAGACCGCCCACCGGGCGGGCAGGACCAGGTTTGAGAGGAAACGTAGAGTGAAAAGAACGAATTTTACGGCCAGCATGGACATCAGAAGCCAAAACCCAAGAACGGTCAGCAGGCCCATACCCCCTCCAATCAACCAAATACTGTAAGGAACCACGGGAAAACCTTGAATCAATGATGGAGGAGACTTCGTTCTCGTCCTGTCCAGAAACAACCAAGGAAGGAGGGGGAACAATCGGACTTGTGTACTGATTGCAATCAAGCGGTTTGAGCAAGGACACATGAAAAGTATTAAGTATATGTAAGGACGCTGGAAGGGCCAGAGAATAAGAAACAGGGTTGATTCTCCTAACCACACTAAAAGGACCAAGGAACCTCGGAGCAAACTTCATGCTGGGAACCTTCAACCTGACGTTGCGTGAGGATAACCAAACCCAATCACCCACCTGGTAAACTGGATTGGCACTCCGCCATTTATCCGCATGAAACTTAAAGCGAGCAGCCGCAGTTTCAAGAGCGTAGTGAACCTTAGTCCAAGTATCACGAATAGAGGTAAGGTGATCATCCAGAGTAGGGATAGCCGTATCAGAAAACACAGCAGGGAGAACAGCAGGCTGACGACCCATATTGACAAAAAATGGACTGTGCCCAGAGGAGTCGTGGGTAGCGTTACTCCTTGCAAATTCGGCACAGGGCAATAATTCAGCCCAGTTAGACTGTGCACTATTCACGAAGCAACGTAAATACAGCTCAAGTGATTGGTTAGCTCTTTCAGCCGTACCATTAGTTTGGGGATGGTAAGCAGAGGAAATTTACAATTCAATGGCCAACTGTTTATTGAAAGTCCTCCAGGACCGTGACACAAATTGGGAACAGGCACAATATTTTGAGTAATACCATGTAGCCTGACAATATCGCATATAAATATGTGCACCAGGTCCTGAGACGATGGCAATTTTTTAAGTGGAGTAAAGTGTGCCATTTTGGAAAAACGGTCAACTACCATGAAGATGGTAGTATACCCATTGGAACTAGGCAGTTCAACAATGAAATCCATCGATAAATGAGACCATTGGATACTGGGTATAGGAAGTGGCTGTAACAATCCACACAGAAATTTATGAGGAGCAGGCTTCTACATAATCTTTCATATGCCTCCTGAGTGACCCCCACCAAAATGACCTGGAAATGGCGGATACAGTTTTATTAATGCCCAGAGGCCCAGCGGTCACATTGTCATGGAATACCTTCAGCACCTCTTTCTTGTCAGGCAATGGAATAAACAATTTATCTTGAGGTTTGTTGCAAGGTGCCTGGGGCTGAGCCGCCAAGATAGCACGGAGCAAAGGGAACGATAAAGAAAGGACAGTGGATGCAATAATACACTCAGAAGAAATAATAGGGGATGCCTCTTGTTCTAGATCTGATTTAAATTTAAATTGTCTAGACAAGGCGTCAGCTTTAACATTCTTAGAACCGGGTCTGTAGGTGATAATTAAGTTAAAGCGAGACAAAAATAATGACCATCTAGCTTGCCTAGAAGACAGTCATTTGGCATCCCCAATATATGCCAGGTTCTTGTGATCAGTAATAATCAGAATGGGATCCTTGGAATCAGGGCCGGACTGGGAAGAAAATTCGGCCCGGGCATTTTTTAATTACAACGGCCCACTAAAAAGGGGGCGGGGCCAGATAGGGTGTGTTTTGTCATCACCAATGACAAGCACGCCCCATCACAAAGTGAGCATGTTGGTTCAATGCTCTTCCAGGGTAGACCATGCGCAGAGCTCTGCTGAAGAGCTCTGGCATGAGAAAAATACCCTGTATTTGTACTGCACAGCGCAAGCAAATTTAATAACATACTTGCACTGTGTTTGCTTGAAATTTGTCTCTGGTGTCTCCATAGTTGGGATACCAGGAGACAAAAATGCCAGGAAAGCATATTGCGCAGTGTGTGTGAGGGTGCTCTGTGTGTGTGTGTGTGTAAGGGGTGTAGTGTGTGTGAGAGAGGGGTGCGGTGTGTGTGTGAGTGATGGGTGCTGCGTTTGCGTGATGGTGCTTTGTGGGTAAGGGTGCTGTGTGTGTGATGGGTGCAGTGTGCTGTGTGTGAGTGGGTGCTGTGTTTGCATGAGGGTGCTATGTGCATGTGAGGAAGCTGTGTGTGAGGGTGCATTGTATGCATGTGAGGAAGCTGTGAGTTTCAGGGGTGCAGTGTGTGTGAGTGAGGGAGGGTGTGTGATGTGCGTGTCAGGGGTGCAGTGTGTGTGCTGTGCGTGTCAGGGGTGCAGTGTGTGTGTGAGGGTGCTGTGAGTGTTAGGGGTGCATTTTGTGTGTGCTGTGAGGGTCAGACGTGCAGTGTGTGTGTGAGGGTGCGGTGTGTGTGCTGTGAGTGTTAGGGGTGCAGTGAGTGTGTGAGGGTGCTGAGTGTCAGGGGTGCAGTGTGTGTGCTGTGTGTGTCAGGGGTGCAGTGTGTGTGTGTGAGGGTGCTCTGAGTGTTAGGGGTGCATTTTGTTTGTGCTGTGTCAGATGTGCAGTGTGTGTGTGAGGGTGCTGTGAGTGTCAAGGGTGCAGTGTGTGTGCTGTGAGTGTCAGGGGTGCAGTGTGTGTGTGAGGGTGCTGTGAGTGTTAGAGGTGCATTTTGTTTGTGCTGTGTCAGACGTGCAGTGTGTGTGAGGGTACTGTGAGTGTCAGGGGTGCAGTGTGTGTGCTGTGAGTGTCAGGGGTGCAGTGTGTGTGTGCGAGTGTCAGGAGTGCAGTTTGTGTGTGTGAGTGTCAGGGGTGCAGTTTGTGTGTGTGAGTGAGGGTGCTGGGAGTGTTATGTGCCCTGCTGTGCCCTGATTATATCCCCCTTCCCTGCTTACCTTATGCCTGGGAGGGGGGATCCTGCTACTCCTGCCGCCATCCATCCCTGGTGGTCCAAGTGGTGAGTGAACTCTAGCCTGTTGGGCTAGAGTTCACTCTCGCGAGACCCGGAGCGTTGCCATGGCAACGCTCCGAATCTCGCAAGAGGAACCCGGCGGAGCTGTAAGTTAAAGCTCCGCCGGGTTCCTCTGCTGGCAGGCTGGCTCCCTCCCTCTCTCCCCCGGCGGCCGCAGTATTCTCTATGTGGGCCGGTGAGGGAGATCTCTGATCTCCCCACCGGCCCGCTGTAGACTACTGCAGGGCCGGCGTTCAGACAGTGCCGGCCCTGCAAAGACCGGCAGGGGAGATCCTGTGATCTCCCTGCCGGCCTCGGCCCACGGCCACCGCGGCCCACCGGGCATTTGCCCGGTGTGCCCGATGGCCAGTCCGGGCCTGCTTGGAATCCTCCAAAAGATGTCACCATTCCTTAAGTGCTGGTATGATTGCTAACAGTTCTCTACTACCAAAAGCTAAGCTAATGCTTTTATAGTGAAGCATTGGATTGGTAGAGTAAAGCAGTTGACACACATGTTCCAAAATTCCAGAATGCTTCTTTATAAGAAGAATCTGATTGGACCAAAGATCATCAGGACTCCCGAGAGGAGCCTGCCTCAGGTTTCGATAACAGGTACGTTTAATTTATTTATTTTTAACAAATGGAGGCAGCAATTTAAATAAGTAAGGGAACACTAATATTAAATAAATATACTTTAAACTGTAAAGTATTCATTTGAATATAAGCTATGTTTAGAGATCCTTTTCTCTCTGCCAAATGCATGGTGACTGACATTTCCAGATAATCCTGATTCAGTGGACAATGACAATGGAATAGCGAAATTATGGTCCATTGCAGAATAAATGTAACACTCTGGAATTGCACACAATCTGTGCATGATGTATATAAATTGGAAGCAGACCTAGGTTATATGTAATCTGACCATGACCTTTCCCATTATTTAATGGCTGTGTCAGCTTCTCTTCAGTCATGTAATCACATTTGCTGTAAAATGTTTGTAAAATTGTTGAACACCTGTTCTCATGAACACATTTAGAACAACTGGACCACAAATACTAATTTATTACTGATTTCAGTTCATTTTTTTTTAGGGTGTGAATTTTCTTGTTCTCTTGCTATGAATGTGTTATTTTGTACATTCAGTAACATTTACTCGAATCTAATGTGCATTCAAAGTTTGAAACATGGAAGGCGAAAAATATTTTCACTGGTGAAGATACCACTATACAACATTGTACAACAATGAAAATGTTTATTGCCGTAGACAGTAATAATGTTAATGGTATTTCGATTTTAAGGTTACAAGTTAACATTATTCTTTCACTAACTGAATTGGTCGTTAAGTGAGAACCGCCCTCTGATCGGGTTGAAATTCGCATTCGCATCACGACATAGATGCGAGGTACAGCTTTACTGTGCACAGAAACCAAGTCTCGCATCCTTGTCACAGCGATACGAATGCAAATTTCGCCCCCAACTAATTTGTGTCTAAACTAATGGCTGTTCATATTCAAATCTTATGCGCCATGTAATCTAATGCGTATTCAAATTTTGGAATAATTATTTTACCACTAAAGTTGCGCATTAGATTTGAGTAAATATGGTATTTTTTGACTTTTTTATAAATTGCTTTGGCATCATTGTATTTTCAAAAGATGACTGATATTAGTTAAATTCAGTTTTTTTTATGTTTTATTTACTGTCCTACCAATCTGTTAATGCACATTGGTATCAAATTGCTTCCAAAGGGTAGATGCTGTTGAATTCATAAACACCATTTGTCGTCCTTGTTTTTGTAAGAACAGTTCATTCCAATCGAGAATCTCCAGAGATACTTTAAGTGTGTCTCAACTTGCTTTCCTAAAAGCTTCAGCTGCAAACACACGTCACAAAGAACACTGGCAATCAACAAATTATCTGACACCTGATCAATCACTCAACTTCGACTGCCCTCTTAAAAGTTTGCAATGACATCCAAATTGGCATGGAACAAGGAGACTTAACTGGAGCCATTTTCCTTGATTTTGCCAAGGCCTTTGACACAGTAGACCATGGCATTCTTTTGCAAAAACTTAAAAACTCAGGCATTGGTGATCATCTGTTAACCTGGTTTCACTCGTATGTTTCAGACCAATTGCAATATCTGGCCATTTCTGATAGCGCTTCCCTCCCTCTTCCAGTCACGTGTGGTGTTCCCCAAGGCTCCATACTCGGCCCCCTGCTATTTACATTATTTATAAATGATCTGCCTAACGTCTGCAAATCCTCAACTGTACACATGTATGCAGACAACACTGTAATCTACACTAGTAAACCCAAACTACCGCAGCTTGAGGCTGTGCTCCAAAACCAATTCTCAGAGGTAGAAAAGTGGATAGCGGATTACAAACTCTTCCTAAACACTGACAAAACCGTTAAAATGATCTTTGGAACTGTACCTAAATTACGTAAACTACAAAATCAACAATTGTGTATCAGAACAAATTCAAATAGCACACTGACAGCAGTCTGCTCTTTTAAATATCTAGGTATGTTGCTAGACCCCAATATATCTTTTGGCCTTTACATTGAAAAAAATCTCTTCAAAACTTTACACAAAACTAGGTGCCCTGTACAGAAACAAATCCTGCTTAAGCCCTACAGTAAGGAAAAAGATGCTAATGCCGGTCATTGATTATGGGGATCTAGTGTATGCACCGGCACCGCAAACCCACCTTAATATAATAGTTATGCCGCTTTGTACTAGAATGTAATTACTTTACCCACCACTGTAACATGTTGAAAGAGCTAAACTTGCTGTCGCTGGAATCCCAACGCACTCTTCATCTTCCCAGCCTTGTGTATAATAACTTTTCTGGGAAGCTCCCACCCTACCTGAGTAGAATACTCTCCCTGGCTGTTCCCACCTCCTATAACCTCCGATCCAGTACCAGCACGATATTTAGCATACCGACATACAAAAATAAAGTGGCTCGATCCTCCTTTTCCTACAGAGCACCACAAGTATGGAATAACCTCAGGGACACAGTCAAATCTTCATTCAATCTAAAATCTTTTAAGAGATCTATGGCAATATACCTCAGCACAGAATGCCCCTGTCATGGTTAAATATATTTATTACCTGTTATGTATTAAATTTATATATGAGTGTGTATATATATATATATATATATATATATATAGTTTTTATATTGTATTTTTGTAATATTGTATCCTATGGTAACAATGCAATGTTTTGTGGACAAAGACCCAGGACATACTTGAAAAAGAGAAATCTCAACGTATCCATCCTGGTAAAATATTTTTTAAATAAATCAAGAAATGTACATGCATTCAAGTGAGCAGGCTCCAAGAGGAGAAGTGACATCAAGGACACACAATGCATGTGTAAATGTCACTACCGGAAACTAACACTAGATGTCACACTTCCACCACAAAATAAGACCTCTGGGCTCCTCGCAGGGACAAAAACTGTTTTTGGATATACTATACTGCCAAAAGTATCTGGACGTCTGACTATCATATATGAGCTTGTTGGGCATTCCATTTCCAAAAATGAGAATTAAACCTGCTCTTTCACCACAAACCCACACAAAAAAAAACACTTTCATAAAGATAAAATTTAATTACCATTCCAATGCTATAAAAGCGCATTATAAGACAAAGTAGGGTCTACTTTGTCTTACGTATTTTTTAAACTTGACAAAAGACAGAGCTACCTCCTCTGGTTTTTGCAATTCCCCCAGCCGTCACTAGAAATGTATACGGATAAAAGGCATGTCTCACTCATCACAAGACAACATCTATGGAGACTCCTCCTGTCTCGTGGGATCCTCCATAGACATCAGAGCTATACGCTCTCAAATGCACAAAAGTACTGCACCGACGTGGGCTCTGGGCAGATGAAGCACGAGGAGATGGAGATAGAAGATGGCGGTGCCCACAGTGGACTGCATCAGGTAAGTATATCTCACATCCAATTCACTGATCTCCACATTTTTGCAAATTAAATCTGAAAGGAAAAACTGTGGCAAAAATAGCTGATCTGCAAGGTTCTCCTCTGCCATTTAGGAGTTAAATCCCTTTGTTTATGAACCCTAGTCACACCTCTCTGCATGTGACTTGCACAGCCTTCCATAAACACTTCCTGTAAAGAGAGCCCTATTTAGGCTTTAATAGCTTGCTAGACCCTGCAAGAGCCTCCTGTATGTGATTAAAGTTCAATTTAGAGATTGAGATACAATTATTTAAGGTAAATTATATCTGTTTGAAAGTGAAACCAGTTTTTTTTTCATGCAGGCTCTGTCAATCATAGCCAGGGGAGGTGTGGCTAGGGCTGCATAAACAGAAACAAAGTGATTTAACTCCTCATATGACAGTGAATTGAGCAGTGAAATTGCAGGGGAATGAGCTATACACTAAAACCGCTTTATTTAGCTAAAGTAATTTAGGTGACTATAGTGTTCCTTTAAAGGATCACTATAGTGTCAGGAAAACAAAGTGGTTTTCCTGACACTATAGTGCCCTGAGGGTGCCCCCACCCTCAGGGTCCCCCTCCCGTGGCGCTGAAGGGAAGCTGCTGAAGGTTAAAACCCCTTCAGCAGCTTACGTTATTCCAGCGCAGGGCTCTCCTCTCCTGCCGACGTCAGCTCCCCCGTCCGATGTCAGCGAAGCCGAATGCGCATGCGTGGCAAGTGCCGCGCGTGCATTTAAACTGTCCATAGGAAAGCATTTCTCAATGCTTTCCTATGGACGCTCTGCGTGATGGAGGTGAATTATCCCTCCAGCGTCGCAGATGCGCCTCTAGTGGCTGTCTGGAAGACAGCCACTAGAGGTTGGATTAACCCCAAATGTAAACATAAAAGTTTCTCTAAAACTGCTATGTTTGCATCTGAAGAGTTAAAACCTGAGGGACCTGGCACCCAGACCACTTCATTGAGCTAAAGTTGTCTGGGTGAATTATCCCTCCAGCGTCGCAGATGCGCCTCTAGTGGCTGTCTGGAAGACAGCCACTAGAGGTTGGATTAACCCCAAATGTAAACATAGCAGTTTCTCTAAAACTGCTATGTTTGCATCTGAAGGGTTAAAACCTGAGGGACCTGGCACCCAGACCACTTCATTGAGCTAAAGTTGTCTGGGTGATTATAGTGTCCCTTTATTGAAGCAGTTTTGGTGTATCATGCCCCTGCAATATCACTGTTCTCTGCTAGTAGGGAGTAGTGATGTCGCGAACCATTCGCGAACTTGCCGCGAACGGTTCGCCACGGTTCGCCACGAACCGTTCGCGGTGAACTCCGGTCAGCTGACACATCCCTGCCAATCTCCGGCAGACCCTCCCTCCCAGACCCTCCCACCTCCTGGACAGCATCCATGTTGAAGCTGCCTTCAACATGGATGCTGTCCAGGAAGTAGGAGGGTCTGGGAGGGAGGGTCTGCCGGAGATTGGCAGGGATGTGTCAGCTGACCGGAGTTCGCCGCGAATGGTTCGTGGCGAACCGTTCGAGGCAAGTTCGCGGACGGTTCGCGACATCACTATTTGGGAGTTACATCACTTGTTTATGCAGCCCTTTTCCCTGCATGTGACTAACACGGCATTCCATAAAGGGACACTATAGCCACCCAGACCACTTAAGCTCATTAAAGTGACCTGAGTACAGTATCACTACTGCCCTTAGTCCTGCAATGTAAAACATTGCAGTTTTAGAGACAGAGTAGTTGTTAAACAGCCAGTAGAGTACATGTACATTAGCCCCCCGTCTGATGACGTTGGAGGAGGAGGAGCGCCAACCCAGTGCCAAGGAACATCTGTGCCGGGATTAAATAAGTAAATAGTAAAGAATTTTTCACCCTATATTGATTGAGGGGGCCGCGAGGGAGGGGATTGGCATAAGGAGCTATAGTGTTAGGAGTACAGGTTTGTATTCCTATCACTATAGTATCTCTTTAACACTTCCTGTAAAGAGAGATATAATGTTTTACTTCCTTAATTGCAAATTCTGTTTAATTTAAAATGTCTAATTTCCTGCTCTCTTAATAATTTGCTAGACCTTGCAGGAGCCTTCTGTGTGTGATTAAATTCCAATTTACAGAGCAGGAAATAAACAGTAAGTTAACATCTGATTGAAAATGAAACCATTTCTTTAGTGCAGGCTGTGTGAGTCACAGTCAGGGGAGGTGTGGCTAAGGCTACATAAACAAAAACCAAAGTGATTTAACTCTTAAATGGCAGTGAGACTGCAGGGCATGATATATGTAGGCCCCCTGGACTCTGCCTCCCCCACTCCCTGGAATGCAATCACTCCCCCCACACCAACCTCCCTCTCCCCCCTCAAAAAAAAAAAACCCACATTCAAATACACAGAATGACACTCATACACATACAAACACGGACACACACAGATTTACAGTGGTGTTATGGATAGAAATTAATGTAGGTAAAATGTCTATTTACTTTGTATATCTGTATTCAGTATTTACTCAAAATGGCTGCTAGAGCACCCCCTCCCATCGACTGAACACCTCGTGTAGCAAAATGGTGTCTCCATTCGGATTAAAATCCCGAGATGATGGTGACCTCACACTTTGGAGGAAGTGCATTAGATAAGACACTTAACACTTGACCAATTAAAGATGTATTCTCTCTGTTATCTTGCATTTCCCATATGATGTAATTCTGCCTTCATAAGGGGCTTGCCGCCCCCCCCTGATTAAACATTCCAAAGTTTTTCATTAACCTGAAACTTGTGTCTCAGTGTGATTTACTTCAGCATGCACGCATTCTATTTTAGGCAATCTGGACGGGGGGCAGGTACTCAAGCAAACACTTGGTTTGATCTAAAACAGTGGCACACAATGACACACAAATAGATTATTGTATTATTTATATAGCGCCATCAGATTCCGTAGCGCTGTACAATGGGTACATATACACATACACACAAATAAACATATAAAGACAAACAGATATACAGGAAAACAGATATACAGACACATGCAGATTTACAGACACAAGTACATTCAGACATACATGCAGATACATAAACACACAAATAGATGTACTGATACACTGACACACATATACACATACAGATACACACTGATACAAAGATAAACATACAGACACACATGCGGACACACCGATGCACAGATAGATACACATATTGACACACAGATACACATACAGACACACATGCAGACACATATATGCATACAGACACACATATTCACAGACAGACGCCTGGAAGTAAAATTTAGGAAGGACAGTCCCTATTTAGGCCCCAAATCCCTGTCTCTATTTTCTGTAGCTAAATATTGTTGGTGTGTCTAAGTGTATAACAGAGCTCCACAGCAATACTTCCCGTAATGTGTCTTTAAACATAAAAAAAAATGTGTTTAAAATCAGTCTGTGTAAATAAAATACTTTGTTCTTGTTTTAAATTACATTTTAGTTGTGCAAATTGTTATTAGTAAGTCACCTGAAAATGTATCAAAACATCCCGCCCCTGGCCACACCTCCACTCACTCCACTGAAATTAAAGTTCCCTATTTTGAAATATTGGGAGGTATGAAAGACTGATTGCTCATTTTGTACTTAAAGGGATACTATAGTGCCAGGAATACAAAGCTGTATTCCTGGCACTATAGCTCCCTTTGCCTTGAGCCCTCCCTTGCGTCCCGCCCAGTGGGAAATAAAGGGTTAAAACGTTGGATGTCGTGTAGACAGCCACTGGAGGGAGACTTAGTGCTGCAGTGAAAAAATTGCAGTTTCTCTGGAACTGCAATTCTTAACATTGCAGCTCTAAGGGCAATAGGGACACTGCATCCAAACCAATTCAATGAGCTGAAGTCCCGTCTGGGTGCCTATAGTGCCCATTTAATAGAAGGTTAATAGTAAAAAACAAAATATTCTTTCTACTATAAATGTACGCATTTGGTCACCTGTACTATTGATATTAGGTCGAACATATTTCATAATGCAGGACTGAGTCCTGGAATATTTAAGGAGTGACACAAGAGTTCAAAGCTCATGCGCATTACGCCCCCAACTATGAATCATACAAATGCATCTCCACTAACTAGTTGTGCTAATGGTGGTACGTGACAACTCCTGCAATTTTCATTCCTTTTTACCCCGAATTTTGTATCCCTGCCTTCCCACAACCAGTAGTTGGCATGTGAGACTGGTTAATAAAAGGTAGTGAGCACAGAAACACAGGGCTTTCCTTAAAAGAGCACTATAGTGCCTGGAAAAAAAACGTGTTTTCCTGGCACTATAGGGTTATTAGGTTCCCCCCTCCCTCAGGGCCCTCCTCCCGCTGGGCTAAAGGGGTTAAAACCCCTTAAAACACTTACCTTAACAAGCGCCGGGATCCCTCAGCGCTGGTGACCTCTCCTCCCCCTGCCCACGTCAGCTCCGAATGCGCATGCGCAGCCAGAGCCTCGCGCGCATTCAAAGCGCCCATAGGAAAGCATTATTTAATCCTTTCCTATGGACGTCAGTGTGTCCTCCATGCGATTTTCGCATTGAGGATCGTGGAAGTGGCCTCTAGTGGCTGTCAGGGAGACAGCCACTAGAGGCTGGATTAACCCTTTGATGTAAACATAGCAGTTTCTCTGAAACTGCTTTGTTTACAGCTGCAGGGTTAACCCTAGATGGACCTGGCACCCAGACCACTTCATTGAGCTGACGTGGTCTGGGTGCCTATAGTGGTCCTTTAAGCTGTTATTTCCACAGTAACAGGGGACCAGTGAAATGGCTTCCAGAACCAGAGAGAGGGAATTCTGATTGTACACAGCATTCATACATATGAAGCAAATGAGTATAACGCACTATGACAGCACATATTTGGTAACCACAGTATGCCTTCACAACTATATTATCGAGGTCTGTGTAATCTATCATTGTACTATTAGTAAGTAATGTATAATAACCAGGGGCGTACCTAGAGCATTTGGCACCTGGGGTGGACCCTGTGTTTGGCACCCCTCCCCACACCCCCCTTAAAATTAAAAAAAAAACTCACAATTTTTTTTCAATGTTTTCAATTATATTTATTGCACATAAAAATTGTGCACCCCAACACATACAAACCCTGCACCCACCCTACACATCAAATTCATACCCCCCATATAAAAACTCTGCACCCCATCACATAAAGTTAATACACCCACTACACAAAAAAACCTGCACCCACTTCACAGAGTTCACAGAGCCCCATCACATAGAAATTCTGCACCCCCCTAAACATCAAATTCATATCCCCCCATATAAAAACTCTGCACCCCATCACATAAAGTTAATACACCCACTACACAAAAAACCCTGCACCCACTTCACAAAGTTCAGAGCCCCATCACATAGAAATTCTGCACCCCCCTAAACATCAAATTCATACACCCACCCTACACATAAAAACCCACACCCCCTTAATAAAAAAAAACTGTACACCCCCTTAATAAAAAAAACCTGCGCACCGCCCCTTAATAAAAAAATACCTGCACACCCCCCTTAATAAAAAAACCTGCAACCCCTTAATAAAATAAACCTGCACACCCCCTTACTAAAAAAACCTCCACACCCCCCTTAATTAAAAAAAACCTGCACCCCCTTCATAAAAAAATCCCCTGCACACCCCGTTAATTAAAAAAAAACCTGCACCCCTCATTAATTTAAAAAAAACTGCCCATCCCCCCTTAATTAAAAAAGAAAAACCTGCACACACCGCCTTAAAGGACCACTCTAGTCACCCAGACCACTTCAGCTTAATGAAGTGGTCTGGGTGCCAGGTCCAGCTAGGGTTAACCCATTTTGTCATAATTATAGCAGTTTCAGAGAAACTGCTATAATTATGAATGGGTTAAGCCTTCCCCCAAAGCCTCTAGTGGCTGTCTCATTGACAGCCACTAGAGGCGCTTGCGTGCTTCTCACTGTGATTTTCACAGTGAGAGCACGCCAGCGTCCATAGGAAAGCATTGTAAATGCTTTCCTATGACCGCTGAATGCGCGGCTCTTGCCGCGTGCGCATTCAGCCGGCGGGCGTAGCGGAGGAGGAGGAGGGAGGAGAGCTCTCCGCCCAGCGCTGGAAAAAGGTAAGTTTTTACCCCTTTCCCCCTTCCAGAGCCGGGCGGGAGGGGGTCCCTGAGGGTGGGGGCACCCTCAGGGCACTATAGTGCCAGGAAAACGAGTATGTTTTCCTGGCACTATAGTGGTCCTTTAATAAAACAAAACCTGCACAACCCCTTAATAAAAAAAAAAACCTGCACACACCAGTTAATTAAAAAAAAAATGCACACACACCTTAATTTTAAAAAAAAACTGCATCCCCCCTCATCCCATCCCTCCACATAAAATTATATTCTCTACTCACATTTGATGATGCCTCTGCGCTGACCTGCTCTGCTCCGAGCCTCCGACCACTGGTGCCTCTCAGGATGATGGATCCTTCCACTCCGTGAAGGCGGACAGGCGGAAGCGGTGGACGTCGGCGTCACACTGTGCAACGCCGCAAAACACCTCCCCCTGCTCATCCATATTGCTGCAGTCAGTGCAGTATAGTGCGGCCGGGCACAGATGCGGCTGCAATGGCGCTGCGGCACGCACCATACGAGTTGATGGGAGGCGACTTATGACACTGCCAGTCATGGCACCCCCCCTAGTGAGTGGCAACCGGGGTGGTTCAGGTAGGGGGATCATGTAGAGGTTAACATAGCCATGGTTTAGGTAGGGTGGTCATGTAGAGGTTAACATCGCCATGATTCAGGTATGGTGGCCATGTAGAGGTTAGTAAGATGTAGGTTCAAGTAGTGGGGTCATGTGGAGATTAGTTTGGCCATTGTTCTGGTAGGGTAGTTATGATGGGCTTAAAGGATCACTATAGGCACCCAGACCACTTCAGCTTAATGAAGTGGTCTGGGTGCGAGGTCCAGCTAGGTTTAACCCTTTTTGCTGTAAACATAGCAGTTTCAAAGAAACTGCTATGTTTACACTGAGGGTTAATTAAGCCTCTAAAGCCTCTAGTGGCTGTCTCATTGACAGCCGCTAGAGGCGCTTGCGTGCTTCTCACTGTGAAAATCACAGTGAGAAGACGCCAGCGTCCATTGGAAAGCATTATGAATGCTTTACTAAGAGACTGGCTGAATGCGCGCGCGGCTCTTGCCGCATTCAGCCGATGACGTCGCTAGGAAGAAGGAGAGGAGGAGGAAAGCTCCCCGCCCGGCGCTGGAGAAAGGTAAGTGTTTAACCCCTTCCTCTCCCCAGAGCCCGGCGGGAGGGGGACCCTAAGTGGCACTATAGTGGTCCTTTAATATGACAAAGGTTGAAGTAGCTGGTTCATGTGGAGGTTTGCACTGCCATAGTTCAGGTAGGGTGATCATTAGATTTGTGCAATATGTTTCCTGCCTAAATAAATTTTGTCCGAAATGTGACCTATTCGGCAATTTGGAAGAGGCTGAATTTCTTAATTACTGCAAAATGAAAAGGAAACAAATGGATTCGTAATGA